GCAGAGGGGTCTGTACAGCAAACCAGGTGAGGGTCTGCAGAGGCTGTAGGAGGGTCTGTACAGCAAACCAGGTGAGGGTCTGTAGAGGCTGCAGGAGCGTCTGTACAGCAAACCAGGGGGAGGTCTGCAGAGGCTGTGGGGGGTGGGGTCTGTGCACTGGCCAGTGCAGGCACTGGGAGTGTCAGTGCCTCTTGAGCCGAGTGTCTTCACACCTGGGGCACCGGGGTGCAGTGTGTGACTATTTATTACCACACTGAGGGCTTGCATGCCAAAGGCTGGCCCGGTGCCTCTGACACAGAGCTTCCCAGGCACAGTATTTGTGTGTTTGGTTATCTTTTAATGCAGGTTTTTCCTACCGTGCTGCCATCGACCTTCTTCTTATAGAAGTGATTGAGTTAATTTTAAACTGCATTATTTTGTTTGTTGCAAACTAATAAGTGCCCATGATTTAAAGATAAATTGCAACAGTGCAGAAAGGCATGGAGTGCTACGTAGATGCCCTGTTGGCGTGCTTGGCTGCATGGTGTGGGGAAGCGTCAGGAGGCCCTCCACGCTGGCCTCCACTCTGCAGTGGCTGCACTGCGGGGGCCCTCAGGGGCCAGGGCAGGGATGGCCCGGGGGGAAGGGAGCTGTGGTGTGCCCATGGTGACTGTGCTGTGCCCATGGCTGCGGCTGTCTGTGCGGCCACGGCTCCCATGACCTGCCTCTCCTGTGCCTGTGTCTGTGGAGGTGCCAGAGGTTGCTTGCGCACATTTGTAAGGATGTGTCTAGGAGTGAGGCCTGTGCTGTCAGAAGGTGAACCCCACTGCTCTTGGGAGGTCAGAAGGTGAACCCCACTGCTCGTGGGAGGTCAGAAGGTGAACCCCACTGCTCGTGGGAGGTCAGAAGGTGAACCCCACTGCTCGTGGGAGGTCAGAAGGTGAACCCCACTGCTCGTGGGAGCTTGTGTCCTCCAGGCACCTGCACTTTCTAGCAGCAACCCCTGAGCACTGCAGACAGGGGCTCCATGAGTTCTTGCAGGACTCAGGCCTTGGGCAGAGCCATCAAGAAGGTGTCGCTACAGGGCACCTATTCCATGGAGTTCCTGGGAGGCTGAGCTTTTCAGGTTTATCAGAAGAAACTGGGCCTTGTACAGCAAAGTCAGACATGAGGAGCAGAGAGAGAGGGTGGCTATGGGTTCTAAAGCGCTGTGGCTGTCTGTACCACAGCACTCCACCCCTGCCTTTTCATGGCCACCCTGGACATTGACCCCAATCAGACTTGATCTGGGAGCAGAGTTTGGCCTGGTCGGATCTGGTGACCTGTGTGGACTGTATGTGTCCTCGTCCCTGACACTCCCTCCAGGCCAGTGAGGCTTGAGCCATATCTGAGTTCTGTGGGGAAACACGTCTTGATAGGAAACTAAAGCAGACAGGGTATAGACCAGATGGTGGGTGTTCTGGGAAGGTGCCCTGACCTGGGTGACATGCGTGAGTGCGCCCTCAGGTCAAGTTTGTTGATACCGCAGAGGCCTTGTCAACACGAAAAGGGTGGGGGGCTGTTGCACCCTGCAGAGGCGCCCACGGTCCCTGCTCCCGGTACGCCCTCCCTGAGCAGAGTGGGGGCTGTGCTCGGAGCTGCTGCGCCCTGCAAAGGCGCCCATGGTTTCTGCTCCCGGTACGCCCTCCCTGAGCAGGATGGGGGGGCTGTGCTCGGAGCTGCTGCGCCCTGCAGAGGCGCCCACGGT